AAATAATATTCTGATTTTCTTCAGAAAGAAAAGAATACTGCTGATCATTTAAGTTAGAATATAACAATAAAGCTGCAAATGATTTGTGGCTGTATGGACCAATTTGCTGAATGTTTGTGAGTATCTTATTGGTCATCAACACTTTTTCTGAATGATCCCCATGTATGCGATTCACAAATATTGTTGTGCAGTTTGTCTCAGACCCACGCAACCCAATGTTTGCATTTGAAATTAACAAAACAGAAATCTGAAGACACCTGAAATTAACTGAGCTTAACTGCTGTCGGATAGGTTTATCTGTGTCTCCAAATGATCTAAGTGTGGAATCTCATCCATAGTGTGGGCCCACCTAGTGCCCAGCTCTGGGTATACACTAGTCTTCCTGATAAAGGACTGATGAATTTGATCAACAAAGTACAGCAAGTACTTACACATACAACACATACAACAAGTGCATGATAGATCATACATTTTAGACAGTTGAAGGTACTAAATCCATAATGTTTGTGTTGTGATCTAAACCCATTTAGCATATTTTGCTGAAATAAGAGAACAACATACAGTAGGTGGTGTATAATAGAGGCAAAAGGGAAGGACTTGAGAAAACAGCGTCTGCTGTCCAACAATTTCTTCCTAAGGGACACTTGGTAACTTATTGCTGGATCAAATCTAACTTCTCTCATCATAATCAATTATATACAGTATGGAAATCTAGGGCCACGCAACATTAAGAGCACCACAGAATGCCAGTTGAACACCATTATACTCCACAAATTGAGAACTGAAGGCGAGTTTGAGTAGAACTCCTTTTCAGTATTCAGCCAGACTAAAGGTTACCACAATAGCGTCAGAAGTGTTTTCTTTACAAATGGCTCCCTAGTCACTTTAGCTCCTGTGAAATTCCCAAGAAGAATGAAAGTTTGGATTACCGGGCTGAGAAACACCATTCAAGCTGTATTATTTCATGTCTATTTTTACTGGTTCCCTTTCGTGTTTATCCTTATGAGAAAGGAGTTGGCACCTTTGAGCAGGGTTATTTTAATGCTTCTCTCTCCCACACCCAAGTGACATGCAGGGCGCATGCAGACTCTCCATCAACACCAGTAGAGTTAGGAATCTGGAAAAAGGAAAAAGAAATCCAGTTGGAAACACAATGTTGTTGTTGCTACCTGAAGGAAATGAAAGGACAGGCCCATAGGTGAAGCTGTAGGATATCTTTGAAAGAACAAGATAAATGTAACAACCACCTTGTGAGTTCCTTCCTATTTGTAAGTCACCACTGAGAACAAATAATAATCGACAACAGCGCAAACAGCAGAGGGAACAAAAACCACAGTGAGCTGAAAACAAGCCTGCTTGTGACTCACAAGGGTATGATGACCTACCAGGACTCTACATCAGACCAGGATTAAAATAATTGAGTACTGAATACTCTAGAGATAAATGACTAAGTAAAGAAAAGTGTGTCATGTCAGGATGAATTTTAGGATTTAATTTAAATTGCTTTATCCCCGCCACAAAATCCCTTTCAGTTCAACATGACTGTGAGCCTTCAAAATAACTCCACCCCAGTGACCCATAGTATAATGGAATGACAGTCATGCTAGTGGATTGCATATACTATAAGGAAGGTCATAATTATTGCGTTATTAACAAAGTATTTGTTATTGTCTGTCAGGTCGAGAAAATTATCCATAAATTAAGATTCTTTTCAAACAAAATGATGGAGGACTAGCTGGAGTTGGAGGTAGAGAAGCAAAACGCCTCAGGGTGCCACAGAGAGAAGCAATCTAATGTCTTGTTGTGCAGGCTGTGGTCACCACTGGTCCCTGGTGTCTCACAAGGGCAAGAAACGTCGCATGTGGAACACAGTTCTATCCATCCAGTTTCAGTAGCCACCTTATCCTTGGACAACTGGGGTGGTCCAGAACCAGCCCAGCCTGACAGGCCCAGAGTGTAAGGCAGGCCTACACACTGAATGGGTGAACACACACACACACACACTCAAAGAGTTAAACTCTTTGAGGGAACGGCACCTACTGTAAGTAAAACACACAGAGGCATGGGGAGAACACAACATTTCCACACAAAAAACACCCCATTCCAGCATCAAAAGGTCAGGACTCCAGAACCTGAAGCAGCAATGTTAACCACTACTGTATGCCACCCTACACAATTGTATTTGGTGCTTTAATTCTAAATGACAGACGGTTTCTATATGATGGGGTTTTCAGAAAAATGAATGTCCTTCCTTTCTGACCTGCAGCCTGCATCTACCTTTAATTATTTTACCTGCTGTGCTGATTTACCTATAATTTCTATCAAGAGTGAGTATTTGACTATCTGCCCAGTACTCGAATGTAATGCTCAGCAGACCTGAGTAGAAACAACAAAACTGTTGCTTTTGCACATTCTGGTAATTATTCCATTGACCATCTTACTAATATTTAATTAATTTCAATCTTTCATTTTTTTGCTCACCAGATTCCAGAGCACCTTACATAGGTTGAAAAACTACTAACTTCCTAATAGTAGTACCAGTAGTACATTTTACTAGTATTACTCCAGCAAAAACATACTGAAACACATCATTTGAATGATACAGCAATTAAATTTCCCAGAAAATACAATCACAGTGAAAAATGATGTTGATTACCAAGACTGTCTTATATATGACAATATTTTATTTTTGTAAGCTTACAAAAAAGAAAGGCTATCTTGGAAAACAAACTAGCAGTTCAGACGGTTTGTATCTGTTCCTTGACGGCTTTTTTTCAAACCCCAAACAGATTGCAGCACCTGTGGTTGGAAAAGGCAGTAGGGAATAAGAAGCAAGAGCGAGCTCCTCTTTTCTTTTGATTCGTTTATTCACGAAACTTCATGCCCAGACATGGCGCCCTGGCCTTCCCCTGCTGTGGTCTCGTCTCTCTGTGCGATCCAGCGGTCACTCTTCCAGGCACCAGCTTCAGGCTGATAGGGAGCAGTCCCAGTCGAGCTGCCTCCCAGCTCCTGCCGTGCAGACTCTCCCTGCTCCGTGTTACCAGAGGGGGGATTCTGGTGCGCAGTTTGTTGACTGTTTACACAGCTGAGAACACTAGGCAGGCAGGAGCACTCTCCACACCTTCAGACATCTGTTTTCCCCTGTCACGCCATGCCGTGAAGTTAATGAGCTCCTCTGCAGCTCGGCATTGCTGTAACGTTGACTTTGCACCTGTTTTGTGGTTTGCACAAGGTGGTGCCTGATATTCAAAGGCCTATTAACTTTTCAATCACAGCTTCATTGAAAGACCCTCAGGACAGAGTAACGTGAGGGGGAGATGTATTGTAGGAGGTGATTAACTGGAAAACGGATAGAGGGGAGGTAAAATGAGCAGCACTGTGCTTTGAGCACTACCTGCGTCACCCTAGAGTGAACTCCTCTGGCATCGTCAGACCACTGCAGTTAGGCAGTGTTGTAATTAAAATCCACTCTCAGAGCTCAGTTTGCAAGAAGCCTACAGACTTTTCTTTAGCAACCAGGTTAATATTTGCACAATCACGAATGATGTAGGAAGATATACAGTGTCTGTGAAGGTGTTATGTCACATATGAGTGCATTCAAATAAAGAGTCAGCATATTTGCTCAACATACAAACATACAAAAAGAACAAGTCACAGTTGTGCAATGACCAATGATCTTTTCTATCCATATCTCCAAAAGTAATAAGCCACCAAAATGTAAACGGTCATTACTATTTTGCTGTCAGGAAATGTGTATTTCTGATCATAAGGCACAATATACTATACATTGTATTTTTATTTTTTAGTTTGAATGGCCGTAGGCACTGGGTAAAGGTCAGTGTTTGGTTGTGTACCCCATTCAGGTAATAACTGCCTAAAGTCAACCCACTGCGCTCATTAAAAATGTATATATTTACTTAGCTAACAGTTTTATCTGAAGCAACTTAGTGTGCGTTTCCCTATAAAGCTGGGCATGTTCAGGTGAGGTACCTTGATCAAAAGTCCAACTGCAGTGTCTCACAAAGGATTTGAACCCACAACCTTCCACTTATGAGCCCAGAGCCCTAACTACTGCTCAGAATTGCAATCACCTGAGAGGCTTACCTGCAGCCGGTCTGAGTTCTTGCCTATTCTTGGGGTGATCTGAATTCAAGTTTTTCTTCAGATCCTAAAGCACATGCCCCGTCAGATTTACAAAAAATATCTCTTACTTTCAGTCTATTCAATTATCAGTTATAATTAAAAGTATTCAAGTGTCAATCATGTAAAACAATCCAAAACAATCCTTCTGCTACATCGATAAATCTGAGTGAATCAGCTCCAGAAGCCATGTCATTGCTTTGACCACGCTTCACAGATGAGGTGATTTTCTTTGGTATCTGTGGAAATTTGCAGTTCTCTCCTTACACCACACTTCGATATTTCCATCACTATGGAGGACATTTGTCTTGATCTTACTTGTACATAAAACGTTTCAACACGTTCCTGACTCATCTTTGTACTTTGGAGCAAATTCTAATATGCCTTTTCTGATGAGAGACTTTCAGTGTAACTCTTCTACTTCCACGTTTTCACAGGCAGCAAGTGTAGATATTTTTCTTTGCTGATCCAGTCATGACTGATTGGTAATTACACCTGTGGTTTCTTTCTTCTTCAGGATATTCCAAAGTGTTGAATGTGGTTTGCCCAGTATCTGTAGTGTGGTTCTGATTTAGGGTTTCTTTTAGCGTTAAAATTGCCTGCTTTTTTCTTAAATAGAAAGTTCTTTGGATTTCATTTTGACTTTGAACTACAGACTTCAAAATATTGCAGCCAAAGCAAGACTGAGTTCTTTTAATGAGCCTAATTATCCAATGACAAATACTTGACCAATAAGAATCCCTGTCCCACGTTTTGCTCCTGCAACTTAAATATTAACTTAAATATGAAGAAAATCCGTACAGTAGGAGTGTATTTACGAGTTTTGTTTTTATTTGAATAGATTATAATTAGAGCTCGTAGTGAAATTCACAGTTTACATCAGTTAAATACATACTGTCATCAATGAAGTTAATAAAAAGTGTTTAGTATTATTAAGAGTAAAAGAGGTAAAAATTGCAGATTGACAAATTACCTGAGCTAGAGCTTTCACAGACAAGGCAAAGAACAAAGATGAACACGGGCATCCCCACCAACTATCACTAGAAACAACAAACTAACATTTATTGCACGACAATACCTGAGGTGTTAACAGACTGTAGAATACTTTAACCATGTCAGTGAAACCTGATTCTAAACACATTATCCAAAACAGGCCACAGACACTGTGTTCCCACTTAACCTGATCGAAAGCCTTTTCTACATCTATTCACAGAGCAGGAGGGGGTAACACAGAGGACAATGTTTTTTGTCAGCTTGTATAATGTGGATCAGATAATGAACATGATCAAAGGCCAACCCCCTTTAATGAAGCCCATATAATTGTGTTGAACTGTTTTAAACATTTACACCTACATCTAGTGTTAAAGTATAAAATATATAGTTAAAGGATAAAATAAGCATGAAATAAGGCTTTCACAGGAAGCTGCCTGTTTGGCTGAGTTGTGAACCTTTTGAGCGATACCTCAACTGCAGAGAAATGTAGACTTCCTCACACACATGTAACTGCCCATGCTTGTGATCGGTGCTTTCTAGAATAGGGACGTACCTGATGCAGATGGTAATTTTAGTTTGTAACAATTTTATGTCAGCCTCTGAAAACCCTGACCATCAGATAAATTCATTTTAATTTCATTCATATAACTTATTTGACTACTCAGAGGCATTTCCGAGTGGTACTCGCTGGCGCCCTGAAGTGTGCTCTGTAACCTGAGGGAGGTTTTTTCCCCATGAAGACGTGTTCAGATGCGGCTGTTCTGTGGGGCCTAGTCTCTGCAACTTTATCTACAATTCGTGGGGAAATGTTTTCTTTAGTTGAATTCAAACACATGAGAGGTTACACACAGGAGGAGGTCATTCCTCCTGTCTAACCCATTTGGCTATAGTGATCTGAGCATCTCATCCAGCTATTTCTTGAATTAAGTCAGGGCATCAGCTTAAACAACATGGTTACTGTAGGTAGCTTGTTCCGCAATCTTCAGTGTAAGGAATTCCTCCTGTTTTTAGCTCTGAATTCACTTCCCCATAGTTTCCATTTCAATTCTCTGTTGCTGTTGATTCTGCTGGTGAGAAATAATAAATGAGTATGTAAGCTAAATGAATGCAGCATGATTGTTAGAGAATACTCCTCCAGTAGTCTCTGCATGGCTCTGGAATTTTTTTTTTACTTCTAAAGTTCTTAAAATGGTCTCAATGTGTAGGAATTGCATAAACAGTTGACTTCTTCTCACACATAAAATGCGTTCTGTGTAATGAAGCCTGATAAGAGTTTCTTATGCAAACATATAAATTTGTAACTGAGCTACCCTATCTGTAACTTTTGATAAAAGTGAACAAAGCGTGATATCAGAATACTGCGGTGTACAATAATTGGTTTGTAATTGCATATTTTCAGGCCAACAATACCTTAAGGTCCTTGGCAGAAACTCCATCCATCAGTAAGTGTTCTCAGTTGCTTCTGTGCTTTTAGCTAATTTATCTGGGTGTACCTGCTTTAGCTATTACATGTACTGTATTGGCATGACTAAGCACCAAATCAATGCTTAACATGATGACATTTTTATTACCTTTAATAACTTTTTAAATAAGTAAATACTGGGGGTGTTCCTATGAATAGAGACCTCAGGGCAGGTAGGGTGTTTTGTTGAACCTAATATGAAATCAAATGATAAAGTTATTAAGCTGACAAAATAACTTTCTGCAGTTTGTTTCCACACTTATGTAAGTGTTAAAGAATGTGAATGATACTTTGTGGAGTTATTCTTAATAACAAGGTGTTAATGGCAGTTTGAAAGCTAGGTAGGACTGAAAAGAGTGAACAAACATCACTCACGCCAACATGTACTAATATCACTAAAGGATAAAGGTCAAAGTTCAGAATACGTACAGTGTCAAGTCAAGAAGCTGTGGATTCAAAATTAAAATTGAAATCCAGGTTTTTCTTTAAGTGATAATTGTTAAGAAGCCCGTAATGCATCAATCAATATTGTAAAAAAAAAAGATCTTTTTGGTTACTCAAAAGTCAACTACTTTTCTACCAATGAAGCAGTATTTTTATATCTCTTTTATGTGGAGGCTGGACTTCCTTTCACTCCTTTCCAATTATTCATGACTCTACTGTAATCTCTCAATATATTGATAGGTTCTCTCACAATAATGGTCAAACCATTATTTTCCTAACTTTATTATCCGGCTTCAGAGAATGCCCAAGGCTTTTGCAGATGTCATATCCTTTTTTATCCATACCAACATTCGATTCTTTCCCTTCTTGAAAATGATATACATCAATCTAAGCTCCTAACTCAAAAACTTGCTGAATATTTACTGGCGCTCAGATGGTGATTCAGAAAGTGGAGCAAATTGTGCACTGAAATTGCCTATCAAAAGGCCTTGATAGTCACTCTATTAATGTGTCTCTTTTGAGATGAAAAGTAGTATATAGTACAAGTGCAAGGGATAATGATAATGATTCTTATAAAAAGAATTATCAGTGTAATATAAAGTGTCATTATCACATTGAAGCTGCTATAAATCAAAGGCGAGCATGTATTTTCCTGTTCATAGAGTATAGTGTAGTGGCAGCGGTTGTACTGCACACTGCAGTTTTGCCCAGACCAACCTAGAAGGTACTGCTGGATGCAACGGCTACAGGATGTATGTTGTGCGTTGAACCTATTCACTATTCCTGCACTATTGCGGCATAAAAATGTAAAAATAAAAATTGTGCAAGCTCAAAGCAGAGCTCCACTAGGTCACTGGGAATAGAGCATTCTGCGTTGCTGCTCTTGCACTTGTGCTGAACATGTGTTAATTGGACTTGACTGACAAGTCAGGCTGGAAATGCATGATCAGGACTGCTTTGGAGCAGCAAATGTGGTAATATATTATAATTTGTTTATATATTTTTTATTTGTGGACACATACCTGTGTATGTCATCATTGGTCATCTGTTGTCTGCATGCTGTGCTGGTTGATAATCTGTTGTCATCTTTCCTCCTGTGTTTTTTTGCCTTTCATTATTTTTGCTGTTCGTTAAGAAACGTGTGCAACAACAACCCTGCCCTAATCTTTGCCTAAAAAGCAACAAAATTTGAAGAACTGTCATATTTAATAGAGTCTACTACTTTTCAAATCAGATTCGGGAAAACCCCTTACTTGACCTTACTTGTACATTTTGGGTGACTTTTGTTTCCTGCAGGAAGAAGGAAGAGGACAAAGATAAATTTTAAATAAAATAATTTGCATTTGTGAATTTGCTAATTGGAAAGACACCACTCAGTCTATTACTTGGTCTCTAAGTGCAGTAAAAAAAAACAACAAAAGTTGTTTTGCACAAACCTCTACATGACCTTACAGAAAGGTGGAGTTCTCATCGGCTGTATGATGTGAATTTCAGTCTAAACCTATTGACAGATGTGTTTTTTATGTGCTTCTCTGACAGATGCCAATAAATGTCTGGAATTATGCACGAACGTGCGTGTATGACCTTGGTAACCTCAGTATGAGTCATGTAATAAGCAGTAGGTATATAACGCAGATAGATTCTCTTTCTCTGAAAATGCACCTTACCAGGATGTGACCAGTTTCACAAGATCCTCTGGTTTGCTTCAGCTTTCATGTGCCTGACATCCGCCTACAGTTCACCAAAAAGCCAGCATGGTTTGAATCATACCTATTGGGCTGCCAACAACAAGAGAAATGATATATTATTATTTTTCCAGAGCTCATTTCATATTGCCAGCATCCATGTTGCATAATCCACTATCTAATGCATTTCACTTTGACATACAGTATAAGAATATTTAAAAATACAGTCCATTTGGTTTTTAGAAACAAATTGATCTGAGAACATCATCTAGCTGTTTCATTAAAGAACCCAGGGTATCAGCTCCTGAGTGTGAAGAAGTGACAGCAGTTCCCAGTTTTAAATGTGCTTCCCCATGACATCCACTTATGTCCTCTGGTTCATGATTCATTATTCATTGTGACGATCAGGTATAATCTATATGATCTCATCTTCAACTTATTTTTACATTGTCATTCTACAAATATACCTTGGATTGTTTTAAAGGCTTACACAGAATTCCCTCTCAATTGATTCCAGAGTGAGCCTTACCAACTAGATGTCACAGGGCCAAGCCAGTCCAGTACCTCTTAATTGCAGTTTTCAGGGGTCTGCAGTGGAAACAGCAAGACCAAATAATTGTTTGGTGCAAGAAATGCCTCCCTAGGTGGCAGCAAGAGAGCAGAACAGCACTTACTAGAGTCATAGAGTATAAATATTGTATAAATATCTTGATTCTAGAGCCCCCACTCATTCATGATCATTTCATGATCACCTTCGCTTCAGCGCCCTGGACCATCCCTTGTAAAATGAGAGGGGGTTCCAATAGCCCCGTTCTCAGGGGCCATGGTGCAAAACCTTCAGTCAGGTGAGTTTGGCCAAAAAAGCAAACATATTCAAAGCTCCTTCAAATCACCCCACGGCTATTTCATAATTAGTTCGGAGGAACTGTCAGAAATTCTCGTTCTCGGTCTCTGTCCCCTTCTTGGTCTCCATCTCCAACTCCGGCTTGGTCTTGGTCTCCATATCTGTCTCCATCTCCATCTCCATCTCTGCCTCGGTCTGTGCCTCATTCTCCATCTTGGTCTCGTTCTCCATCTCAGTCTCAACCTCGATCTCCATCTCCATATCTGTTTCTATCTCCATCTCCATCTCTGCCTAATTCTCCATCTTGGTCTTGTTCTCCATCTCAGTCTCGACCTCGATCTCCATCTCCATATCTGTCTCTATCTCCATCTCCATCTCTGCCTAAATTTCCATCTTGGTCTCGTTCTCTGTCTCAGTCTCAGTCTCGGTCTCCATCTCCATCTCCATGTCCGTCTCATTCTCTATCTCCATTATCCGTCTAGTTCTCGGTCTCCATCTCCATCTCCATCCTGGTCGAGATTCCAGCTACTTGTGCCTAGATTAGATTGTTGCTAACTTGATCATAATGTCAGCAAAAGGAAGAACGGAAAAAAGCTAAAAAAATCACTACATTTACAAAAAAGCAGAATACCATCGAGGGAATATTAAAAGGTTCATGAATGATTTTGAAGCTGAATTTTATAGATCTGAACTGCAAATTACATATATTTATGTATGTTAAAAACAGAGATTCCATGGAGGGTTAATAAAGGGATAGTGTACGGGCCAGTGATCACAGGGGAAGTGTTATCTGTGGTTGAAAGGCTTTCCTGCTTGTAACACATGGCTTTCCATTGTCCTATAAGGTGTACGGAGCAGTGAACCAAACACACTGCTACAGAAACGCACTTTAAAGACAGACCGCTTCTTCTATTATGCTTACTGCCTACGGGCAGTGCAAAGCTGCTGAACCTACTTTTACATTTAAACTAAGAGTGGTTAATCCATTACACTTAAAACTGTATCAGCTTTTTGTAAGGCAGTTGTATCAAGACTTTGTCCTGGGTAATTTTTTTGAAAAACATGTAGAATAAGAGGACAGAGGTGAAACCTCCCTCATTAATTATCAACATTTTTTTTTTCCCCCAAAAGCATTTTTCTGGCTGTTCACACATGTGTTTCTAGGAACAACAGCAATGTTAATTAACAGCTAAAAGTTTACCGCAGAAGGTCCTTCACTTTGTTAATGTCTGGGCAGCAGAAGATTTGTCCTACAGAGGTGCAAGAAGTCACAGAGTAGTGGAGTAGTAGTTTTCAAATATGTGTATGATACTAGTGTATTATACTAGACCATCCAGAGAGACACCATGTACTCTGAAAGCAGAGGGATTTTCTATGAGGCTTTATACCCTTAGTATTGGTTTAGCACACTATACCCTAACTGCATGAAGAGGTGTTAGGAAAAGGGACATATTTGGAGAGAATATTTTGGACCTCCATAAAAGCCAGCCTTGCAGTGCCCAGTTGTCATGTATCCCTTTGCTACTGAACCATAAGTCCTGCTTCAAAACACATCAAACCAACCTCTACTACTCCCATTACGAGGCAAAACACAAACTACTTTAGCTCATCTTGCATTGGAAATACATAGATTCACACGGAGACTCATTTAAGGCTGTAACAAGATTCCTGGCCTTTTCTTGTTTATCTTACATAAGTGGCCAGAGACCTCTTTTCAACAGGGTGTGACAAATGTGATGTGGTTGAAAAAACAAAAATATCTGACATGGGCTGTTAATCAGTACTCATATCGGAGAAATCTCTCGTTTTTGTAGTTATCGGAGTAATAGTTTATGCTTTGAACAGCACCTGTGTGGGAAATGTGGGAGATAACTTCAAAATGCACCATGTTATCGCCATTTTCTTCTATTAGTAAGGTGTGAACATGCTTAGCCATTACTCTAAGGCCTATTTAAACTAGATAAGAAGTTTCATTACCAAAAGGGGTGTGCTTCGATTCATAATGAATTTTCCTTAGGTCAACATGAGCTAACCCACCTGGAATGATAAGTACTTTGAAATAATAATAGTAAAAAAAACAACAGTTATATCTGTCAGCAAAATAGGAACAGGCGTCTTGTGAAGCTATATTTTTCATTTAATATATTCCTGGAGACCCCTCTCTTCTTTAACTTTTTTTTTCATTTCCCACGGTTAGGTGCCCTTCCTCACATGGCTTGTATAGACAGGGCCTTTCGTGTGGAGACAGGCTGCGGTATTATGACTCCCGGGTGCTTTCGAAAAGCCTGTCTCAAATTATACTTGTTTAAAAGCATTAGACCAACATGGTGGGACATGAGATGTACTTTTAAATCCTTAAAAAATTTGCGTCACTATCCGTAAAGGCTGCCTTAATCCCTTTCTGCAAAGATAGTAAGTTTTGTGCTCACATCCTTTAAAAAACAGAAACTGCAAAGGCACCATCAAGCCAATGAAATCACATGCCCATTTTAAGACACTGTTCACTTAATACAACTGAACATACTTTTAAAACGGGCCCTTAGAGCTGTTGCTCAAAGTCTGCAGCAAGTTTTCTTGTCGCCGGGACCTCAGGAGATGGATTATATCGGTAGTTTCTTTCGCACTGTTGGATTGTCACACGTTTGGCCTGATGAAGGAAGCTCTCCACGCTCACAGTACAGAGATGGTACTGTAGCAAGGTCTAAGAAGCAGGGCTCAGAGAGCAGCCAGCATGGGCAACTATAACCTTGTGAGGAGATTACAGACGTGGGTGGATGTGCAGAGGGAACGTGCTGAGAAATAAAGCCTATGTGGATAATTCACAAATTCACAATACTTACTCTCATAATATGTAGTGAGCAACATCCAAGCAACACAACAGAGAGAGTTGGGGCGAACAGAACAATATGGGTGAGCTAGGGGTGAAATGAGCTGACTCTGTCTCAAGTCATTTTGATGAGCACTAATCTTGGTGGTGCTGAGTCTGTCAACCAACCCAGTGAGCGCTATTCAAACATTATTACTGCTGCCAGAAAGTCATATCCAAAGGGCACCTTACTACAGACTAAATTGAAAACTATAGAACAAGCCAGAGCATCTTCTGGTTTTGCCTCTCCCAGTACATTTAATATGAGAATAGGAACTCTCACCCAATTAAGTGCTATTTTGAAATGTTACCTCACCCATGCTGGTTTTCAAAAACTAACCATATGAATAACAGGTCTGATCTATAATTAATTTTCAATTATGCCATTCACATATTTATACAACGTTGATGTAATTAAATTTGATATTCAGAATGTATATATCTGTATATTTCTTAACTCTGCACTCTTTTGTTGGTCTCTAGAGATTTCAAATTCAACAGTTCTCAATTATTTCTTTCTAGTATTATCTTTGATTTTTTAAATGCTGGATGCCCCTGATTGGTCTGACATTGCAAATACTTTTAGTAGAGTTTTAAATTCAGGGTACTGAATATAACTGAAGATTCACACAAAGCCCTTTGTGTACTGTATCTCACTGATTCACAGTAATTTAGAAAATCTGGCCATTGTGTGTTGCCTGCAGCCTCACTGAAGAAATAAAGGCAAGGTTTATTTGCTTAAAGAATGAAAGGTGTTTTATAAGAAAAAGTTCTAATTTTGAAATGGACACCTTTTGATTTTTCCATTTCTCATTTTCTCAAAACAGACGAAACAACTAAATTAAATTAATTCTGACCGAGTCCTTTTGGACCAAATTAAAATGCTAAGCGAATGTGAATTGTTGCTTATTTGTGAGCAAAGAAGCATGTTCTGCATCTGAACTTGTCGTTGTTTTTACTTTTTTCAAAAACCTAAGCTACTCTCTACACAGAGATCCAGAAACAGGCTGATTTCACTCACCACGTTCCACACAGCAGTCATCGGGTTCAGCTGCTGCTACCTCTGAGGAAAGAATGAGTCAGTTCCCTTTTGGAAAAGTGCCACCAGGGTTCATACTGAAGTCCAAAGATTGAAAATAAAGGACATCTGCAGACTTGATAGGTAAGACAGTTGCTTCAAGAGTTATCATAAACTTTATACAATTGCTGTAACCTAATCAGATAGTGATTGACTGTATTCCTATAATCATTCAGAAGTTGATCAGTGATCACAGTGGGCTGTGAAAGGCACTTCTTCCATTTTACGTGTCACCTGTGTGATCATACTGTAGCTGAGCATTGTTTAATTGTGTAGAATGTGCAAAATAGTATCTACATGATACAAACAGCAATATTATTGCCCTGCAAATAGCCTACTGCTATCCATTTGTAGGATAATGAGATGAACCTGAAAACAAAAAAAGCAAAAGAAAACCAGATACAGCTGATTAAAACTCAGAAAGTATGATGAAGCTACTGTGAAAAAAGGGTGAGGTTCGTCAAAAACAGTTCAAGCTTAATAAAAGTTTCAACTGCTATTTTAAAAAGTACTGCAGGCTTAGTACTGCAGGTTTTTGTAAGTACAATCTTGGACAGGGACCAATTGATAGTACACCAAGCTTTTTTTAAGTGACCATTTCATATCTTGTACCTATGATGTAAAGTGTTTTCGAGACAAGGAATCCAAAGATTTATGAAAGTCATTTCATATACGTCATTAGCTAGCCAGGTGTTCAGAGAAGGCAGGTGAAAAAAAAAAGTTTGTTCCACATTTTCAGTAGGAATGTAGTTTTTGTCGCACTCAGAAAAGAAAAATCTCCAGCTAACATTACCACTTGCATTTGTAAAGGCATTTTCAAGCCTTTTCTTTAACTTTTTCCATTTCTAAAGGCACTTACTGAACTTTGTTTCTCTTGTTTGTGTTAACAAGAGAATATTTATTAATGTCTGTTGAATAAAAAGCACAAAAAAAGGAGTGAAAGGGTTTTCTCCTGTGTGCTACGAAATCCTTGTTTTTTTTTTCAGGAGCTGGGATTCGCCTTGTGCAAATCAAGTTAGTGGCAATGAGTGAAACTAAGATGCATAAATATGCAAGAGGTTTCAGGATCTGGAGAGAGAGGGAAAACCATTGTAAGGGATACTGCAGGACAATAAGGGTAAGATGAGTTGAGGACAGGGTCAGAAGAAAAAGAGAAGGCTAAAATAAGATGCAGAGACAAAAATTGAAAGAAATCCAAAGAGATACTGTACAATACAGAAGAGTTCCCTTGCCTTTCTTCATCTGTCCCAAACTACCCTACTTGCGCCTGTCTGACACTGGTGTGCACCTCCTGTGTGCTTCGCTTCAGCAGGGAAACCTGTTCTAACACAATGTTAGCGTGATTGCCTCCGCTACAGCTGAACTTGCGGCCTGGCAGCAGCTAAAACAATTTTAATAAAGCCCCTAGGCAACAGAGGTGAATGCAGAGTTCTCTCGCCAGCCGTAGTGTGAAGCATGGCAGTGGAATGCTTCAAGCCTGAGGCCCTGCAATAGGTTCAGTGTTAACTTCTGTAAACAAACTAATAGCACGAGACCACACAGTGTCTAACTACTGGCTTCAACTTAATGCAAATAAACTGTGGGGGCCTGATGTGCAACTTCTCTTGGCTAAGGGTTCAAAACATGAGGAAAAGACTACAGTTTCCTCTTGAAAGTCATTGGTGTGCTTTAACCCCAATCACAATATCTGAACATCGCAATGGTTACCATGAGATTAGTTTATTTAATCCGTCCCACTCATGGGATTCTGTTTTTAGTTAAAAAGACACAATTGAATACACTGGGAACAACCCACCACCATCAACCTTACTGTGCCACTCCACACAGATCAAGGGGCCACCCCAGAAAGAGTTATTTAGGGTAGGAAACAGGACCCCCGGTCAAAATCCAATACAGGCACATGGAAACCTGCAGACTACACAGAAAACACCCGAAAACTGGAACCAATCCCAAGAACAGGGAGCTGGGAGGCGCCAGCACGAACAGCAACCTCACTGTGCCACTCCAGAACAAGGGGCCAGCATCGTTCCAAAGCGCAAACAGGGCAGAAGTGGAAAGTACTGAGTGTGGAAGTGCATTTATAAGCTAAAACAGGGGTTGCTTCTTTAAGCACAAAGTAGTGGACATAGGAACAAGCTACCAAGACATGCTGTTGCAACAGATACCTGGGCTTCCCTCAAGTAATGGCTGAATGTGATCCTCAGATACATTAATTAATAACTACCAAACGGGCTTCATGGACCAAATGACCTTGTCTCATTTGCATTCTCCTGTTCCTATATTCTTTAATAAGCAAGTGAGAATTACTCATTACTACTTACCAGAGCACTTCAGGAGAATTAGCTTGCTCTGGTGTACAATAGCAGGGTCGCAAACTTGGAGTTGAACCACCAACCTTCCAGTTACAAGACCAGGGCTCTAACCAGTGTTCCCCAAACCACACTTCTTTTTCCCCGCTGTCAGCCACCATTGAACTGACAGATGTCGTTGCACATTTGTTATTCTCCACCATAGACAGCAGTACCCCCTGCTCATGCTCACAGGGAAGCATGTAGTTAGTACAGGTGATAGTTTAATCTACAGTAGAGTTGTAGGGATGTACCCATGTAAATCACCAAGTTACCAGTGTGAGTATCAACCCTCCTATAAGCTCCACTGGTCAAACGTTGTGTTTTCTTTCTTCTTTTTTCAGCACGGAACAAACCTATTACTTGTTCCTTTGCAGCCTACGCACGCTGACCCAGCTACCCACCTGAACTACCTCCTATAAGCCTTTGCCTTTAGAAATGTTTCCCGAGCTGTATCGCTGAAAAAGCAAAGTGTGAAAAGGCAGAGTGGCAGAATCATGAATAAGTACATGTGGTGAAGAAAACGTGCAAAACTGCAAAATTGCTTGTTCTACTCACCACTGTGACTTTTACAATGTATGTAAATAAGGTCTGCAGAGCTCCTGTTGAATCCCAACTATGATTTTTTATGAAAATGCTTTAAAACAAGATACTGTACACCTGGTGCAATTCAAAAGACGAGCCTCCTGGGTGAGATTATCAAAACCCTCTGATCTATACGCTTGTGTATTATGAGTTGAGGACAACATAGGCAACTGGTTGTGGAGAGACATCATATTAATTAGTTTTCCAGGATTTAATTCACAAATGTAAAGAAAATGTCAAGTGTTAATAGCAAACTGCTTTGGAAGCCTGCGTTGTTGGATGTCTTTTAACTCCTTATAGCAGCTAACCTGACAAGGAATGGGTTATTTTATTGGAAATATAACCCTGTTTTCACCAAGGAGCCAGTTTATTTTCAGATACCTTCCTGTGACAACATTAAATCATGGTGGGGCTGCAGCAGAGCCCCAGTACTTTAACTGATCAGAGCCGGCATTTTGAATCTCAGATTCTGCAGGGAGATGTAAACTTAGCTTTGGATCTGAAATACTAGACCGCTCCCAACGCCCGCCCCCACCCTGTACCGCCTTAAACCACAGGAATGTTAACATTACTACAACTATCAGCTCTCCTTTCTCCTCAAAATACTCTACTCCAGTGTGCTGTTTCACAGACCTTGGGGAAGACATGTTGGAAGTGCAGCTTTTCTGCACCTGGTCTTGCAAAGAAGACTCCGTTTCAGAAGGATCGCCCTCAAGTGGCTGGAGGGAGTCCCTGCAACAGCACACCCACTGACATACTGTATGCAAAGCAAAAGTCCATAATACCCATGAGCATAGAGAAGCCTTTTGATCTGTGAAACCAGTTTGCATGTTCAACTGCTGGCAGAAGAGAGGCCTTTCACCTCCTCTCCCTATCGTAACATCCACATTTGAACAAGAAGGCCATGTAGAAGCCCCCGGCTTTGCAGAAACAGGAATTTAGATAATGTTCTTCACACTTCTCTTCTTTAATAAAGCCATGGGTATTTACACTTTGGACATCTACAGTAATGTAGATTAGGATTGATGACGCCAAGTTTCATTTTGGACTCAACCTGCCCTTTGGAGGCTTTGATTACAGCATGCTTGCATCTATGTGATGGATGTATGATATGTATTTATGTATATTACATATGTACATATTATAGAGATATATAATTGATGTTTATATTAAATAATGTTCTACACTTTAACATTCCTTTCCTTTATGCAGTAATAACAATCACGAAGGTACACCTTTAAAATGTAAAAAGACTAAACCTCCGAAAAGCACTATGGTGTTTGTTTTTTTTGTTATTTTATCCCTGTGGAAGACTATACTGGTGTGAACTAGATCTTGCTCCAAGCGATAAATTGCCTTAGGTGTCGCAGGAACATTGCTTTCCATCCGAATTTCCGAGTTCAAAAACTACACATGTACAAGACACGGTATAGTCATTTCAAGTGTCTTTGGCCTTCAACTTAGATTAATGAAACATGAAACCCATTCAGTTACCTCTTTGTCTTGGGAATAATAAATTGGATGTTTATAAGAACATTCATAGTAGCCACTGTTTGTGACAGAGGAAATTAGCTTGAGGCCAGTGAATTGCTGTTAAGTTTCAGTGTGTGGCTCTAGAAATGTCAGAATTTCTCAATCAGTCTTTTGTTTTCCATTGAGATAACATCCAACTGTCACCTTATTATCTTTCTAAACAGGTTTTATGGCATGCTCTGCATCCAAGAAAGCTATCTGTGCACTTAACTTGTACACGCCAATCTCACGCGATGGGCATATTTGGGGTGAAAAGAAATAATAAATCCTTATGTAATTCAGTCTATGTCAGGAGTTCTCTGACAAGTCCACACTTCACTCCTGGGCTGTCTGATGGAAACATGTGTTGACAACTCGCCAGATGATTCCCGGGCCAAGTACTGTGCAGGTTTTCTGTACTTCTTGTTAAATTTGTGAAAGGAACATGATTAATTTCAAACTGGTACCTGTAAAAAGCACAAAGTTCTGAGTGTTAATTCCAATATTGTGTTTGGGCATTCTGGCGTGAGGATGCTGTGTTGTATTTAAAATGTTCAAAACAAACTAGGTGCCTCCTTTCCTGTAAAAGGTTTTAAGATAAATGAATGTTTTGCTGAAGTCGTTAGTTTATAAT